CAGAAATAGAAGAGAACATCCGGATTATGGCTAAGCGTTTACGTTATGTGTTTGGTGATGGATCACGCACATACACTCCACGTAGGCGATTATGTGATGTATTTGGTGAGGGATCACGCACATCAGGGTCAACTAAAACGGTTAACACTAGTTACATCGAGAAAGATCAGACACCTCCACGAAAAAATACTCTTCCACCTCAACTCTTATATGGGAATAGGATGCACTCCGATCAAAATTCATATTATTCTAGTAAGGAAGATTCGAAATCATAACTTCTTTTATTTATTGAATTGAAAATACTTATTTATAACTAAGTTTTTTTAAATATAAATACAGAAATTCCCCCAATAAAGTTGACCGTTGATCTTCCTATATCTTCTCCTATGGATACAACAACACAAGGAAGAGCGATTGTTGCTGCTCCTATAACGCTAGAGGAGGGTGTTGGAGACAATATTGCAGAAGAACAACAAACAAAAGCAGGAAGAGCTATACGCGATGATGTGGTTCCTGTAGTGAAGTATCCTCGTCCGGATCTCAACTTTCATCCACCAGAAGAAGATGATGAAGATTGTTACTCTTAATCAAAAGTTGCACAATTTAATTTGTGTATTGACCATGTTTACTTATCGACCAAATCACTGCATTTTCAATTTTTTTGTTATATTTTGTTTTATCAATATTTCAGAATTTTTTATTTTTTTTTGGTGATGATAGAGTTATCTATGAATTTCTTTTATCTTAAAAATAATAATATACTTTGTCGTTTTAAAATCTTAAGTTCAAGTGACTGTAGGTTGTAGCATAGTGTACGTTCTGAAAAGCAACATGCTTTAAAAATATTACTGTAGCAATATAGATGTCATCATATAATTTATTCTATATTATCTTCCACTAACAAACAACCGATAATAGAAGCTTTTACATTTTCCTTCCAGAACCTTCGAGGATGACATGTCTCTACTTCCTAAATACGAGAATGTTACGCTGTCACTCAGTTTTATATGCACGAATGGCATAAAGGCTGGCGCACCACGTATGCGTGCAACTACTGATTCAGCACCTTACACAGCCTTCAGCCAACCAAAACAAAATTAATTTAAAATCCAAACAGCTCTTATTTTTAATGATGAAAATAGTTTTAAAATAATTGATAAATATTTTATTTATGTCTAGAATAATTTTTTTAAAGAAAGATACCCAACAATCCTATTAATATGGACTATGCAAGAGGAAACAGTAATAAAAATTAGAAAGAAATATAAAGTCCAATTTTTGGATGGTAAGCTACCTCCTATATATATATAGTAAAATTTATAAAGATCTTTGTAGAACCTATGAAGATATTTTTTAAATAACGTACGAAGATGCTTTGCTGTCGAGAGGAATAACTGTTTGACGAAATCACATGGGCAAATAGGCACATCAAGTAATTATTAGAGTTGTTAATTACGTATAAGTCAACCCTGTGTTCCAGCTCACCCCAGCCACATCTCCAAAAGTCAACATAGAATCTATGCACGTCAATCATTAACAACTCCGTACAACAACTTTCAGGTGAATATTTTATGTGAAGTTGGAAGATGATGGAGTTGTCGCACAGGATATGTTCTTCTCATCCTTTAATTAGGTTTATGTATGTTTTTTTTTTGGGTTGTTTCTCCTTTACTTCAATTTCTTTTGTAAGGACTAAGGAGTGGTAGGGAATATCTTCTAGTACTCAAGTGTTGAGGTTGTAATCATATTATATAGCAGTAAGTTTTTTTATATGCACTCTTTTCTTAATAGAAAAAAATAAAATAAAAAAGAATGTCTTCTTTTTATTATTATATCAACAAGTTATTTAATTTAACATTTTAAAGATCCATAAGTTTTAAAATCTGAACTAAATACATTTTAATTTAAGATTATAATAAAAGTTATTTTTTAAAAGAGAGAGTAGAGGTGGGCTTTCTGTATTCGATTCAATATTTCCAAATTTTGAATTCGGTGATTCATTTATTGGTAGGTAAAAGTAGATATTAAATAGTACAATTTATAAATTTCAGTTTGATAATTTTGGTGATCGATAAATCTAACTTCGGCAGGATATTTTAGTTATACTATATTAAAGTTATACCCTATTGTAGTACAAAGTTAATATTATTATTTCAATTATTTTTATTTGATTATGTAAAGGTCCGATATAATAGAAGATTAACAAGTAAGAAGATTGTTAAGAAGAATATATTGATACAACTAAACATATGCATTTGGGACGTTTTTATGTTTAGATTTTTAACTTTCTCTTTTGAACTTATTCTAATGTGTTATAGACCTATTGATACATGATTTTTATTAAGTAAATAATTCAGTATTTGAAAAATATCAAATATCAAATGATATTAAATTATAAATTAATTATCGAATATCAAATTAAAAAAATTTAAAATTTAATTTAATAATTTAATTTTTGATATTTTACGCGCACACTTACATACCATCTGAGTATCGGTATACAAACAAGAAAAGAATCGAACAACACATTTAAGGCGGCCTGAATTCTTTTCTTTTAGAAAAAATGTAAAAGCTATTACTTATAAAATATTGCTATACCAACAATAATAGTAAAAGATCACTAAATATTTTTTTTAATTGATTGAACACGTGAAAAATTTAAAACATAAGTTGACTATGCGTAAAAGACGTAAAAGAACTTTTCTAGTGAATTGACAACTTTGCATAGGAAAGTCTCAATTTTTTAATAAAGTGTCCCAGTGAAACTTACGGATTAAGACATTTAGCATTGACGCCTTTATGGCCATTTGAAACTATTACTACATCATATTGTGAAGTTTGAAAGCAAAAAAAAAGCACTTTTTGACTTTGGAAATTGGTTGTCATTTAGTCAAATAGTCAACTTGAGAAGAATACTGTTGAAGTTGGAATGAATTTGATAGTGATGGTTCAATGCAAATAATTTATATTTTTAAATATCTTCAAGAAATAGTAAGATATAGATAAAATAAATGCATACAAAATTAATTCAAACAAAAAATTGTTATCAAGTGTCACATCATAAAATAGTATTAACCAAAACTAAAAAAAAAATTATTGAATGATAATAGTACGATCAACATTATATATATATATATATACACACGAAATGTCCGATCATTAAAGTTCAGTTCAACATTAACATTATATCCTATATATGTCACCATTTCAAATACATGAATGACGTGGATATTTAAGATCACATATAAGGTAATTTCTTTATTTTGAAATAAATAATTTTTTTAATTTAAACCTTCTAAAAAAAAGAAAAAAATTGATGCAACTTCATGTCTTAAAATAAACGTTAATTTAAAAGGAAAAGAAGTAGAGTAATAGCTGTAATACTTCTGGATGATGTATAACACTAATTTATTTGAAATAAAATAAAAAATATCAGTTATATATTTAAATAAAAAAGTATTTAATACTTCTGACATATTTTGTATTTGATATTTTAATCTTAACTCCAGACAAAAGTTTACCACTCCTGTGGCCTGTGGGTAAAGGAAGTTTTTATATTTAATGATAATTTTGTGTAGAGGCTTCCATCTGTCGTTGTTTCTGGAACCTTCGATAATTACATGTCGTAATTCTACGAATACGAGAATGCTGTGTTGTCAAGTGCATATTTGATATTTTATTTCTAAAGAAAGACCACGTTAATTCAGCTGATGTCAAACCTCAACGTGAGGCTCAGCAGATTGGTCACACAAGTGGCATAAAGATGGCTAACCGCTCGCACACCCAACCAAAATAAAATACACTATACATGTTACTGTTATATATATATAATATAATATATATATATATTAATGCATAGAAGTTATAATTATTCTTGTACAGACCTCTTTAAGGTATGTAAAACCTTTTTATACTGAAAATTAGTACTAATTCTTACTTCTCCAATATTTACTTGATATACTCGTAAGGATTGATTATTCAATAGTAATAAATATAAGAAAAAATAATGTATATATTATCATTATGTACTAGTAGAATTTTATTTGATATTACTTTAGTAGAATTTTATTTGATATTACTTTTCTCTAGTAAGTAGAATGACTATTTTACTATATATTATATTTGATATAACGTATTTTATTCCTTGAGAAATGTGTTGAAAACTGAATATAATTAATAAATAAGAATAAATTAATAAATTATATGTTAATTTCTAAATCAACTAAAAGAGCCAATAATTACTTTTTTTAATATAATTAACAAATAAAAATAAGCTGCATAAGATAAAATAGTACACGCTTAACTCCTTGCAAATACTTTATTATATTAAATTAAAAATAATTTTGAATTATGCAAGTCACTTAGTACTTTTTCCGTCCAGAATTGTTTGTCATGTTGAGTCAATTTGATTAATCTTTAAAGATAAATTAGATTGCATTAATTCGTTATTTTAAACAAAAAAATAGATATTTGAGAATTACTCGAAAAAAATACTATAAATTATAATTTTTTACATATTAATATGATGAAAAAATACATTTCAAAATGTTAATCAAAAATAATTTAATTCTAAAAATAAAAACTATAACAAACAAATCCAGACGGAATGAGTACCTAAGATGAATTTTAAAAGTAGAATGTTCCTTAGATACCTCCGAATGAAGGAAGCTCCTATATATGGAAGGTTCCAAGAGTTTTCTAGAAGCTGCGAATACTACATTTCTTTTATTAGAAATGGTGTGCTGTTAAATGTAAAGTGGCTTTTGTCACATCTTCCAAAAATAGGCACGTCATCAAAGGGCTCAAAAATATACGTGGCCTACATCAAAGTCAACCTCGTGTCTGACTAGTGTTCCACCTCACCCCAAAAATACACACAATATTACTATACTACCCTTATAAATACGCCCACACTCCTCTCTTGATTATTATTTTCATTTACAACAACAAACAAACGAGTAATTTCATTTTTTCAATTATAGAACTAGAAAGGGGAAATAATGGATAATTTATCTAGCTTTACTCACAAACTGACTCATCAACAAGAATCTCACTACATGGTGTCAGCTCTCAAACATGTTTTCTCTGGAGCCGCCGTTGATGGTCGAGCCGACGGAGAAGCTGCTCAGCTTTTATGGGAAGTTGAAAATGCAGCCACGTCAGATAATTCAATGCCACGTAGGAGTATCAATGTTCACCCAGTACACGTGGAGTTGGAGTTGGGGAAGAAGAAGCAGAGGAGGAGGAGGAATACGAAGAAGGAATTTAGGGGAGTGAGACAAAGACCATGGGGAAAATGGGCCGCCGAGATCCGTGACCCGCATAAAGCCCAACGACTTTGGCTTGGTACGTTTGTTACTGCTGAAGATGCTGCTAGAGCTTATGACAAAAAAGCCGTAGAGTTTAGAGGGAATAAGGCAAAAACAAACTTTCCTCTTAAGGAATATATTGATGATCACGACAACAGTTCCCCAATGATGAAAGTGGAAGAACATGAAAATGACCAAAATGTGATGAATGGTGATGAGAATAATAATAATGGTGATGACTTTTGGGCCACATTGGAAGATGATAGACTTGTCAAATTTATCACGCAGGATATGTCCCACTGATCCTTAATAATTTCTACTATTATAATGTTTTTTGTCTTACCTGAAAAATATCTTCTTCTTGTTTTGCAGGTTGTTTTTGTTGTTTATTTCTTTTTATTTGGTTACTCTTGGGTGGCTAGTACGGAGTGGTAGCAAATATCTTCTTGTTTTAAGTATTGTACTCGAGTATTAATGTTGCAATCATTTATTTATTTTCGTCCTAAAAATAATATAAAATGAGTGAAGTTAGTTCCCTCGAAAAGTCATCCAACTTATCAAACATTTTAGAATTTGACTACTAAATTTACTTTAATTGATAAAATTATTCAACTATTATTATGTTTTTTCAGAAATTATAAAAAAAAAAATCTATCAAACTGTCATTTTCTTCATGCCACATTAAAGTCTATTTTTCTTAATCTATTTTTAATTGATATCTATTAATTAATAAAATTCTAATTTATCGAATCTGATGAAGTTTTGACGATAGACAAAGTGTAGTGGAGAAGATGTTGTCCTCATCTACACGTGATGGGTTTAATCTTACATGATGAACCGAACTTTCACGTACGAGTATAGAAGTGCAAGTCGTATATATACTGAGAGCTAAAGGCTGAACTCATTACTCAAGCAAATAAGCAAGAGTATATACGAAAAGAAATTCTGACTTGTTGTGCAGATGTTGTCTAATACGAAGATGAACCACATTGAAGAACTTGTTTCATACTTGATGGTTTTAGAATCTAGAATTCTTGTATTAGGTGATGATCGAGTTGTACGATAGTTAGTTCCTTGTAATCTAAAGACTATTGAGGCTCATTTAGATCGTGATTTTTTTCACCTTTATGAGCAGGGTGTTTTTCCACATACAAGTGATTGTCGATAAAAAAAGGTATATCTGGACCTTCTTAAGATATTAAAATTGTTATCAAAAAACTATTTCTCCAACCCAATTTGCTAAATGTGCTAGTTCAAATCGCAAAAACCTGCTTTAAGGTTTGCGATCGTGTTATGATAGAAGAAATAATGAGTGTTTGGTTGCAACTCAATCCATCTATTAATTATCAGTCCAATTGGTTGTGTTTCAGTAGACGTGTTATTTTATAAATTTTATGTAAAACAAAATAAAATGTAATGTACGTAACCAAACTAGCTTATGTGTATGTCCGAGTTAGCTCAAGTACAACTCAACTATTTCACGTGGTACTTAATTTGGTAATTGTAAGGACGCTTGGGGCTAATTTAAAGAAGCATGTCAAAACTTGCAGGTGACATTGATTGAGTTGGCACAAATTTTAAAAGAGGGAGACTAGTGATATTTGTGACATAAAAGATACTCCTCAACTATTTGTATGATTATAAATTATTTTATTAAGAATACAAAGAAATTTTCTTTAAGATGAGTGTTCTGTCATTACAAAAACACATGATTCTTTTTGGTACAACTGAGACATCAACCATACCCAGAAACCTGACATGCGCAATCTCAGATTGCATTACTTGCAGGCCTTCAAATCTCATATAACTAGATAACCATTGGCGTGCCCTTAAATGCAGAAAAAGCATTTCTCATTGAACAAAACAGAGTAGTAAGAGAACAATTTTACGACTAAAAACTCAAAAGAAACTGCAGCAACAAAACAGTACTAAGAGAACTCCAACCACTTAGTTATCATTATACAGTGCCAATGACTGAGTAAAGTTCCAAACATTCCAGTTTCCAGGCAAAACAAGAGCATTCTACTAATGTTAACAGATAGCTTGTTCAAAGAATGGAAGCCAAAGCAATAAGCAGATGACGAAAATTTTGCAGATAACAGCCGGGCACAGTTTAATTTCAAATCTCAGCAGCCAAACCACTAGTAAATCCATATTCCGGACAAAATTGAGAGGATCACTATAATCACCAACCAATTATCTAAAGTCCAAATTAAGTTATTTTCAGAGGCCATAGGCACCAGAACTAGCTTGATTGTCCCACGACATATATTCACTCAATAACAGATCCTTACCTATCAAGATCACTAAACAACCATGTGGTTTCTCATCCCGTGGTTTTTGACCCACCAAGGGTTTGCTTAGCCACATATATTTGTTTCACCTTAGTAGATGGAACCGCACCCAAGGACTGATTTCTGCCATGGAAACCCATTCTGCGATGGGACCAATCATTTCCAGCCATATTTCTCTGAGACATTCCACCACCCCTGTGATAGTTGTAGCCTGCAGAGGTATTCTTCTGCTGGGTCTGCGTTCTGAAACCACTGACACTTTGATCTTTACCACTGTTGCTGACACCATTTCTGAGAGCATCAATGTTGCCTGTTTCTGCATTAGCACATCCAGAGGAGCTTTGACTGGCCAAACTCTGAGCAGAACCACCAGTAACCCCTGGCTTGGAGGAATCTCCAAGACCAATTTCAACAGGAAACTGAGCTGCATTGGCAACTGTCGCAATATTAAAACTGGGGGTACCATCAGAGTCTTCTGGAGGATGAGATTCCAAGAACCTATTGGTACTCAATGACTTATCAACAGAATGACCGTGACCAAATTTAGGAGGCAATGCACCTTCAGCTTGCTGCTGCAAGGGGTGAGAAATGGGAACAGAATGAAGAGGCGATGCAGGGACATGAGACCAGCGAGCTTGGACTGGCATTTCTGGTGAAGACTGAGTTGAAACAAAAAGCGAAGTAAAATGTTATATGAGAGAACTGCTTGCACTAATAGATCATATAACAAAAATCTAAGGCATGACAGAGTTCATATTCTTAGAAATTAATCAATAGGTCTTCACAAGATGAAAGAAATGAACACAATTATGATTATTTTAAAATTAAAAAGAAGTGAGCAACTAAAATTGACAAGTAACTCCACTATGATGGGGTGAAAGATTCTACAAGCCCTCTTTTTTTGTTATCATCAATTGATGGCATGGCATTCTTTACCTGGAAAGGAGAAACATCAAACATGGCCAGAGGAGAAGCAGCTATGGGCATAATTGATGAAGCAGGGCCAAGGTGCTGCACGGTAGAAGGCATATTCGATAAATTTCGCTGAGAACCAGCAATATTTACGTTATTCATATCCGCCTCGTTGATACCCATTGCGGAGGATGAGGGTGTGTGCTTCCAATCAGGCTGCTTTCCAGAAGGTAAATAAGTGGTACCCATAAAGCTTAATCCAACCTGGCCATACTGTCCAACTGGAGCAAAATGATTATAGACCACCATGTGCGGAGGACCTTGAACTCCCGGGATACCTCCAGGTGGGCTTATGAAAGGGCCAGTGAAACCTGCTGGATGACCGTAGAATGAGTCTAACGTAGAATGGCATTGTTGCCATGCACCAAGTGGACCTGAGCTAGACACAGTAGCTTTCTGCGACTGTGATTGGGAGCCACCCGATTCCTTATGTGGACCGAAGGCAAAAATAGGACCACCCAACACGGGATTCATCTCATAGAAAGGAAAATGAGATGGCGGGCCACCAGGAAAATGAGATAGGATTTGGCTAGAAGAATTCTGGGGACTTGGTAGGGACTGCCACAATGATATCGGAGGAGTTTCAACATTGAGATCAGCAGGAAGAGATACACTAAGAGACTCTTCTGCCCTTGATTGGCTGCTCAATTGCTGATCACCTGTCATAACACAAACTGATTAATACAGGCAACTGACAGAACCATCAGATGATAAACAAAGCCGTATTTGGGCATAACAAATTCTGTACCTTCAAAATTTTTAGCTTCTGAAATAGCAGAGCCAAGTCCATTCCCAACAATTTCATCATTGCTGATAGCTGCTACAGCAACAGCAGAAGCAGCTGCTTCTGCTTCAGCCTCAGAATCTTGTACATTTAGACATGGATCATTGGCACATTTATCTTTCTCAAAGAAAAGAGTACAATCACTTTCATCTGGAGAAATATTACGGGAAATTTGTACTTCAGATCGATTAGACCCTGGAGCTCCAATCCCATGTGAAACAACACGACTACTAGTATGAAGGACCGTTGGGGATGTAACAGCACCTGGTAAGAGGGGGGATTATATTATACATATAAAACAATCATAACTTGAGATACATATATATGAGATGACTAGTCAAGTTACCAAATTGAATTTTTTCGCCAGCAAGCAGCGAGTTAATTGGACTTGCAGCAATAGAAAAAGCTTTGTCCTTCGTTAAGATGGATGATGATGGTAAAATGGGCTCAGTGACTGCACTACTGTGAGCTCCACCAGAAGCTGCATGTGCTTCAAACCTAGCAGGGCTCATAGCCTCTTCAAGTTGGCTCTGTGACAAGGCCATAACCTATGCCAAAGTGAGTGAGAAAATTTCTTGGAGCCAACAATTACAGGAACATTAAACCATAACGAATAGAGATCTCATAGTCAACAATCTACTAAACAAAAGACCAACGAACAATAGCACCACCAATGACTAAGGGTTAGATTGTGAATATCTAGTATCATTTATGAAAACAAGGATAACATAATCCAGTCACAACATAAAACATTACCTAGCTGATGTTCAAGAAAGAAATTGTGTTGGAATTTTGGCTCAGATATGAAGTATCTTTTAATACTATATTGATAACTTGGAAAAGATAAGTCACTCTAATTTTGGGTTTGCAAGAGGAAAAATTAATAATCAATAAAGTGATAGCAGAGGGAAAAACAAGGAAGCAAATTATCACAGTGGAAACTTTTGGGAGTAGAGGTGCCCAATGAGACTACGTTTTCTACAATCAAGTTTGCAATTGCATCAAACTTTTTGTAGCCTATTCAATCAGAATACAATTTAATAACAGGAATGACAGTGATCTAACTTGAAGCGGTCTTACATGGCTGCATAAAACATCACACAATTATGGAGTGGTACAACACCTGACAAAAGAAAATACCTGTTGATTGATCTGTCCACTACCCCAAGAGTTAAGAGGTGATGATGTAACATTCTCTGTATTTTTCTTGCTCTCAAACACCAACCCTGGCTCAAGGTCATCTCCACCAGCAGAAACACCACCACCTGGGGTGGTTTGGTGCAACCTGTAGAAGTAAACAAACAACATCCGCATAAGCATTTCAGGAGGTCAAGAGGTTCTTTGGCCATATTTTGCTTCTAGAGAGACATACTTGGCTGTATGAAATTGTTTATCAGCCTGAGATCCGTTGCTCCCAGCAGGTGTTCCTATTGGAGCCAGTGGCTGCGACACCACAGCAGTAAATCCAGTGGACACATCCTTATAAGCAGATCCTTGCACCTCTGAAGCAATAATATCTGAATAGTTACTCTTATTTGATATTTCTCCACCCACAGATGCCAAGATTTTATTTGGGCTAGTTAAAATTGCAGTACTCTGTCTGGTCGTCCTAGGTTTGCGTGGAGGCTGAGAACATGATTTAAAAAAGTTAACAAATAACATCGCATAAATACCTTAGAAACATGGGCAAGTCGTTATACCTTAGAAGCACGGGATTTCGCCTTGATTTCTTTTTCTCTTTGTTCTCGCCGATCATTCAGCATTTGCCTCTTAGACCTGACTTCAATAAAGTCATCTTCATCACCGGGTGCTTCTATGCCAGGCTGTTTAAAAACACGTACAACACCACTTTGCAATGGAGCATCAACATCCTCAACAGATATGTTCCTTTTTAGATATCCCTCACCAGTGTGCGAAATATTCTGATTTTTGTGCAGTGATGCCCTTCCGTCATCCTTGCTTGGCTTGGTACTAGAGTCAACCTCCTGAGAATCAACATTTGCTGACTTAGAATCT